ACTTTGTATTTTCTTAACTATCCTTTACCCTCAGGTCAACTCCTGGTAGCCGACGTCATCGACTCGGACAGTTGGCGCCTTTGGCCAGCAGGCGACAAACGCCTCATGGTCGACAAGCAGGTCTACAGAAATCTGACGCAGGTCACCCAGAGCGATCTGGAGACCGTCAAACACAACTTCGAATGGGTCAGGGATCAGCTCGATCATCTGGTGCCTAAGAATGATGCTCTGGTCGTCATCCTGATGGGAAGTCCTTCGGATAAGGAACACTGCGAGAAGATTGCTAAGCAGTGCAGGGACTTTGGGTTGCTGGTTGAGGTAAAGGACATATGTGCCCATAATTATGAAAGTGGTCTAAGTCATATATTTCTTGTTTCGACATATTTAATGATTTGCATTTGAATAAATTAAAACATATTTTTACATTATGCGGCATTTTAATTTTTAATTTTATCAGTCTTAATTAATGGAAATTTATTATGAATATGAAATTTTGTGTGAATTTCATACGATAATATTGTTTTTGAAGGTCGAATTGATTTAGACCATTTTCAAAATTAACTGAATGTCCTATAAATGACTTAAACTTTGAGTTTTATTTGGAACAATAATTTTATTGAAATACTTCGTGAGCATTTATTAATTATTTTTAAACGGTAATCCATTTTTATCATTATTTCGAGTATTTTAGATTCTTAAAATGTTCCTGAAAAACTGGAGGGATGTACGGTAGTAAACTCATAATATCTTCATGTTTTTCTTCCGATACTGGTCTAATGCTGGTGTATAATGGAAGTAATTTAATCTTTCCGTATATTTTTGGTCTTTCTCTTTTAGGTGAAAGATCCAAAACGTGAAGTGTAGAATCATCTAAAGAAGTTTTATAAAACATAAAATTTTTTATAAGGTTCATTTTTCAAGAATCTCATCCATTGAATTTGTAGCCGAGAGACAGATTCGCCCGCGGTATTTTTTACTATTCTTGTTATTGTATCTTCTAATGATTTCGTTGAAATAAAATCCGGCTGCGACATTCGCTTTATCGAAAATGTATTGCTTCATCTGCACTTTTCTATCAATTCATAATAATGCTCAGGGTTGTATAAGTAATTTGCTTTTTTTATTTTCATTTCTATCAACCCAAAATCACGATCATTCGGTAGAAAGGAATGACCTGACACCAAAAATTTTTGACTTGGACCACTTTCATAATTAACACTAAATGAATTCCATATAATGTTGAAATTACAACCATTATCTAATGGTTCATTTTTGAAAATTTTGTAAAAATTACATTGAATACATTTAGTTTAAACTAATGTGGTATGAAATAACTGATAAACTCATTTTTTTTTAATTTTGACTTAGACCACTTTCATAATTATGGGCACATATGATGGTAATTAAAATATTTTTGAAATTTTTATTTTAAATCTGGCTGAAGTTCTAAAACTCATTTGCTTACTTTAAACAAATATTTTCTACTTTGCAATTATATCATCATCATCACATATCATCAGTTTATATAATTCCTATAAATATTTTGACAATGTTATAGTATTTATAACAATCTATTTGAAAACATTTAATATTCCTCGAACATTTCGTTACGGTACGGGGAAGTTCCAGCAATTTGTCACGAGGCACGATGCCACTTACAACTAGTTATTATGTGTATTTTTAATTCTAGGTTCGAGTGACATCAGCACACAAGGGCACCAAGGAAACTTTGCAGATTTTGAGAAACTACGAAGGAGTTGCTAGCAAATTAGTTTTCATTGCTGTAGCTGGCAGGTGAATAAAAAATTATACAATTTTGGATTCAATTTTTAGTCGCCGATTTCGGGCGCACGGATCAACCGATTTGAATTATTTTGACAAAATGTCCAAGCTTTCACAAAATGTTGAAGCTTTTTTCACTAAATTTCCAAGCAAGTTTAAAAAAAAATTCAAGCAAGTTTTCAAAAAACAATTCCAAGTAAGTTTTCAAAAAACAATTCGAAGTAAGTTTTCAAAAAACAATTCCAAGTAAGTTTTCAAAAAACAATTCCAAGTAAGTTTTCAAAAAACAATTCGAAGTAAGTTTTCAAAAAACAATTCCAAGTAGGTTTTCAAAAAACAATTCCAAGTAGGTTTTCAAAAAACAATTCCAAGTAGGTTGTCAAAAAACAATTCCAAGTAGGTTTTCAAAAGAAAAATCCAAGTAGGTTTTCAAAAAACAATTCCAAGTAGGTTGTCAAAAGAAAAATCCAAGTAGGTTTTCAAAAAACAATACCAAGTAAGTTTTCAAAAACAAATTCCAAGTAAGTTTTAAAAAAAATAATCCAAGTAAGCTTTGAAAAAAATTCCAAGTAGGTTTTCAAAAGAAAAACCCAAGTAGGATTTTCAGAAGAAAAATCCAAGTAGGATTTTCAGAAGAAAAATCCAAGTAGGATTTTCAGAAGAAAAATCCAAGTAGGATTTTCAGAAGAAAAATCCAAGTAGGGTTTTCAGAAGAAAAATCCAAGTAGGATTTTCAGAAGAAAGATCCAAGTAGGTTTTCAAGAGAAAGATCCAAGTAGGTTTTCAAGAGAAAGATCCAAGTAGGTTTTCAAGAGAAAGATCCAAGTAGGTTTTCAAGAGAAAGATCCAAGTAGGTTTTCGAAAAAATAATCGAAGTAGGTTTTCGAAAAAATAATCGAAGTAGGTTTTCAAGAGGAAAATCCAAGTAGGTTTTCAAGAGGAAAATCCAAGTAGGTTTTCAAGAGGAAAATCCAAGTAGGTTTTCAAGAGGAAAATCCAAGTAGGTTTTCAAGTGGAAAATCCAAGTAGGTTTTCAAAAAAAAAATCCAAGTAGGTTTTTGAAAAAAAACAAGTAAGTTTTCACAAAATATCAGTATGTTTTTAATTTTTTTCAATATTCAAGTTCTTTAAATATTTTCAAAATTTTTAAAAATGTTTAAAAATATTCAAAATTTTTCAAAAAAAAAATGTAATTTTTCTTTTCTGAGCTAAAATTTACTTCACGGTACCGAAAGTTCCAGCAATTTGCCTTAAGGCACGACGCCATTAAGACACCACTAGTTTCCACTATTAATCAGAAAGATAATAAAAGAAATTTGAGAAAATATTTAGTAGTTTTGTTTTCTAGCTCTAGCTATTTTCACAAAAAAGTGCTTTTATTTGTCGGATTCTATAGATGCTCTTTGCACTTATAAATAAAATATGCGCAAAGTCTCACAAATGTTATTTCAATATTTGTCCTATTTGGAAGTTACTTTTTAGCCATTGACAGTTCAAAAATTAAAAGAAAAGCAATTTTGAGTCTACTAACACATTAAAAAAATGAAACAGTTGCACCGGTAATAGCAAATCTTGAACATACTTTTATTTTTAATTATCTTTTTCCTCCCCCAGATCCAATGGTCTCGGTCCAGTGCTCTCCGGCAACACCAGCTACCCAGTAATAAACTGTCCACCAGTAACATCTGCCAACTCGAGCCAAGACGTCTGGTCCAGTTTGAATCTTCCTTCTGGTTTAGGATGTGCCACGGTCTTGTATCCGGAAGCAGCAGCTCTGCACGCAGCTTCGATCATCGGCCTGGACAATTACTTGGTCTGGTCGAGGTTGAGAGTGAAACAATTGTACAATTACGTTTCGTTGAAATTGGCTGACAAGGCTTTTAGGAATATTAAGGTCTGCTGAAGCGGAGATACAGATACAGATACAGATAGGTGATTTAGTAATAATAATAATTTGGTAATAAGATTTATTGAAATTGATTGATGTGTATTGATTGTTAATTGTTATGTTGATAATACATTCCAAAGATTTTGATAAATTTTTTTTTTGTTTTCCGTAGGGTATGTTATAGTAATCGCAAAAACATCGAAAATGAATATTTTTATATATCTTTACGTTTCAGAGGTTTCTGAACATTTTAGCATACATATGTGTGTGTGCGGATACATT